CCCCGTGGGGACTGGGAGAGGCAACACCAAACACAGCTGGCAGTGCTGTTACACAAACTGGACACGTTAATCACAGCAGACATTGCTGAGCAGTTAAAGGCTCTAAGAGCTATGCTGTCTGTAACATAACCGTACAGGAGACAAGGAGGACATGAATAGGGCTTCGGGTGACGTCCCAAAGGATTTATTTCTGTTGCTCCTTCGAAAAGGATAGATTATGAGAACGTGGTTCATGCATATACTCCATTAGGACATTTTCTTACTATTCTGCTAAGTGTTCTGTTCTCAGCATGACATTTCCAACCAAATGCCCAACGATACCATTAGAACTCTTTCAGACAACCTGGAACTTCTGACATGTGCGCCTGTTACCAAACACGATTTTACCCAAGCAGAGGCACATTGAAACAGTATTCCAGATATTAAAAAGGTATGGATATGCCACATGAATCATATACACAACCTTTGCTTTGGCTTTCTTAACTTAAAAGCAGGACTCTTAGTTCTCTGGGTATAAAAACATATTGTGGTCTTCATTATATTCATTACCTACTCAGTTCAAACAAGCAGACTGACTTTTGCGGAACTGAGTGCTGTACATAATTACACACAATATGTGCATATTAGCACAGAGCTCTTCTTGAAATGAAAGAGAACTTTATCATTCCAGCTATAAAGAGGGGTCTGCAGGCAAGGGCAGCCTTTGAACTGATGAGTCCTTTTGCTTACACGGTTGCAGGAAGCCACCGTGCTCAGCCCCAGGAGTTGAAGGGGACGCAGTCTCAGATTTCTGGCACATGGGCTCCATTCCTAGAATCCAGCCCAAGTTCTTTCACCCTCAAGCCTAATCCTCATTCAGGGCGAGCTTTAGTTCGTTAGTTAGCCGGCGGTTTTGCTCAAGTTGCTGGTAGAGTTGGTCTGTACAGGAAGGTCAGCAAGCAGGTTAGCAGAAAGAAAGAGGCAGAAGGAACAGAGAGGTTAGGCAGACTCATCAAAGTCGACAGAGGACACAGAGATGTCACTGGTGAGCAGGATACTCTTACCCCACGGTCATCTGTCCTGTGTCCAGGAGGGCTGGACCACAGAAGGCCTAGTAGACTTAGACAGTGTCAGAGTTTTCCCTCTTGGTTGGGAGGGGAGAAAAGGGAGCAATAGGGTCTGAGAAAGAGAAAAGGAATGCTGATCTTGTACCCTACGAGAGAACTCGCTGGTGGATGAAGATGAATGTGGTGCTTGGAGACAGTATGAGGCAGGGCTCAGGTCAGCACATTATCGTCCTGTCTTGCTTGTACTTGATGGTGACCTCCTGGTAAAAGCCCGACCCTTTCCAGGACTCTGGCCACCTCTTCCCAGGACCCCTTTTATCTCTACTCACAGAGGGAGGGCTTTGCATTTCAGCCTACCAAGAGAGGGGCAGGATCCTCTTCCTGTGTGAGATTTTTTTTAATTGCTGAAGTCACTTAAACAGAATACAAGTATCAAGAGAAAAAATAAATTTAAATAAGTTAAACAGTGGAATAAATGGCCTTTAATTAGATCCAGAGTTAAGGCTGGTCTGCTTCTGGTAGGACTGAATTATGAATAGGACTACTGGAAAATGACATTTCAGGTAAATTTGGAGCAACAACTGATGTCCTTGATTTCCCTAAGGGATGCAGCGTTCAGCAAAAAACAATGTTAATTGAAGGATCTGAAGCCAGTCTTTGCAGACAAAACTGCTCAACCATCACTGGAATTCAACAGGCAGAGGCCCTGGCTTTGAGCTTCAGATTTCTTCAGAAGCCCCAATTAAGTACAGGCATGCCTGAGAGGTGCAGGGAAAAATTTGGTAGATGACTACCAGACACTGGTTTCAAAGTTTTTTAAATAGCCAAAAAGGAAAAAAAAAGGGCGCTAAAGCAGGATCTTGTCCCAACCTTGAGCTGTAGTCAACTGTCCTAGCTGAAAACCAAAAAATTCCACCAAACTAAATGTGACCTGAATCTAGGACCACAGGGAAAGCCCTGTCACCAACAGCCAGCTGGGGGAAGGCCACCAGGTGTCCTGAATGCTGTCCTGTGCTCTTGTGAAGCCTCCCTGGTTACAAACCACCTGGGATGGTGAAAAAGTTGGGGGCTTCCTTCCACAGGAGGAAGCAGCTAAGCTCCTTGTGCTCCCCCACATCACCACGACACAGCTGGAAATTCTCAACTTGCATCTGGCTGAGACCCAGTGAGCTCCACCTGCCTCGAGGAGCACACAGGCATTCACCTTCACTTAAAATGTTTACGGATTTAGGTTTTAAGGAGAATGACATTCACATTTGCTCACCGGATGGATGCGTGTGAAATGAACAAAACCTTCAACATCTATCTGCAGGGTGAATGCTGTTGTGTTGCTGATTGCCTTCGAGTCGAGCATGACTCATAGCGACTCCCTCTACAACTGTGGACATTTATCAAAGTTCACCGAGTTTCCGGAGGCATGTTGTTTAGGAAGTGGATGCCACTCCTGCTTCCAAACCTGCTATAGTATGTTATTGTTGTTATGTGCCATTGGGTCACTTGTGATGTGATCTAAATATTATATATAAACATGGAGACCAGTTACATGGCAAGTAAGCCAACCACAGCAAGAATTCTATGAGACAATGGACGCCCTAAAAATGACAAGAGGCAGGCACCTACCCCCAAGAAAAGCTTGAGGATGTCTGGTTCTTTCGAATCATGTTAGGATCAGAGTGGTGATCTGGATATATCAGGATCTTCAAGACTTGGCAATCGTACTCCTGGGGGAATGTCCAGTCTCTAACCCTACATTAGAGGGTAGGCCACTCTTGTGTTAGCTTCCTTTCATCAATGACTGGATATGGGAATGATGCTCTGGTAAGCTTTCTAACTTGGGAGGTCCATTGCTGCAACCTCTCTGCTCATCCAAATGTCATGACTATTAAAACAAGTGCTCAGATGTCACCTCCCCCAGGAAGTACCCTGCTACAATCCCTCTATTCCTGACTAGCTCTACTCGGACACCATTTCTTGAGCTCATATTAGCTTTATTCATCTCCTTTCTCACCAGGTAGTCAGCTCACTATGGCGAAGAACACTCTGGGCTCATCTCTGTACCACCTGCCCACTGTATTCTCCCTGACCCAGGCCTGAGGACAGCGGCACTAACTACACAGGGACAGGCAGGAGGACTGTTTGCTGAACTCATGTTTGGTCAGGATGGACCAGGAGAACTCTGGAGAAATCCCTGAGAACCCAGAAGATCTATGTGAATTCTGATTTAATGGCAGTTGTTCCCACCATCGCCTGCTTGGGACATGTTCTGCTTCAGCCGCCACTGAGCTGACAGGTTGGGTGACTAGAAGAGGTAGAGGTCCACTTGGGAAGTCAGCTCCTCTCAGATCAGTACAGCTCTTCTTTAGGTCCAACTGAGGCTCTGGCAGCAGCAGGCTGGCCTGACGCTCTCAGCTACAAGCTCCAATAATTTCTTATTAAAACTCACCTTGCTAGTTTATCCCCTTGTCCACCCACATTCTTGGGGTATTCCAGATCTGCCTTCCCGATCCATCTGCCTCCCATTTCTTCTTGTAGCCTTACAGAATGTATGGAAGTCTTACACAGGGTTTCAAAAAACCCAGACATGTCTCCTGAATGAAATGAGCGAATGCTCGGTAGAACTAGTGGACCTGTCTATGGCGGGATGCAGGGTGACTCAGGGAAGGGTACATTACTATTACTGTGAATTTTAATAAAGAACAAGGCAGGGATCATGATCAAAAGCAAGCACAAATAAGAGATATCATCTTCCAAGGGAGACAACTATCCAGATTAAAAATCCTTATCACCACTCAAACATTTTCATTCACAGTTCTCTTAAATATTCTCTCTGCTCTGAAGCTTATAGAGTGGCTATGACACTATATTCAGGGCTTGCTGAAATGTGTTTGAGTGTAGTGGTACAGCAAACCTCTTGGGTTAATAAAATCACATACAAAAACAAAGACGACTCACATTTACAACAGAGGAGAAAGCTAGCAATGTTGAGAAATGCTGGGAATTAAACAGAAGGTACATCATTTTTTAAGTTCTAATTTTTCAATGAGAGGTTTTCTTCAGGCGGAAAGAAATCACTTAGTTTCTGCTTGTGAAATGAATCAAGGAAGCCCAAATAAACCATTCTGAACAATTCTGCCAACTACTTCAGGAAAGAGAATAACACAATCAAATTCACTTTTAATGGCTCTACTTAACCAGTTTCTACAAACGAAGAAAACATCTTTCAAACATTACACATGTACAACCCCTTCTAAAGGACGCTCGCTGCTCCTGCGCACAGGGCCATACTGAGAAAACCCACAATATCATTTTCACAATCAAATGAAGGTGGCTGAACAAGGAAATCGACTTTTAACAATTTTAACTCTTCTTTGTGCTGTAAAAGGATGCTCAGTCATTAAACTGGTTGAAGCAAAATTCTCTTCCACCTTTCTAGATACTTAAGTCCCTAACAACGTGAGGCAGTTCTGTGGCCGTTCCTGGCGAGCTTGTCTACATTTATGCATTCTCTGATTCCCAATCAAGGTCATTTAAAGACTAACGCATAGAGACTTCTGCGTTCCAAAGAAAACTTCTGGCATGGGGAAGGCACAGCGCAAACCAACCTTCCAACTCCAGCAAGCCAAGTCCCCTATGTCGTCATGTTTCTCAACCCAGACTATTAAAACCCCCAAATCCCTAACATTCTCTAACTTTTGAAACCAGATCTTTGAGAAAGAACATGGGTAGTTCTTAGAAGTTCCACAGGGAACTTTTTTGGAAATAAACTCTTGATTTTGCACTCTTGACATTAACAGTTTTTAGAATGAGAAAGAGGGGGCAAAAACAAAGGGGAAGAAAAAAAAAGAAAGCAGGCGCCAGAAAGGAACCCTTTGTATGTATGAAGCAGATAGGTAGCTTTATTCAGCACTGAAACAAAAATGGCAATAAATAAGAAATAAAAATAGCAAACAGAAGTAGCTTCCGCAGCGTGTTTATTTTACACTGAGATGAAGAGCCTCTGTACAATAGACAGCATAGGATGTGCTTGGCCCTAAGGCAGGATGCTAAATGAAATGAGCAGGGTCAGCTGGAGGAGAGACAAGCTGCACAGCTCAGAGAGGAGCATCCAGTTTGATGAAGGAGTCTTGGGAGAAGTGAAGCAAAGAAACTTATCTGCGAGAAGATAAAAGGCGGGAGAGAAAGAAAACAGGCGCACAATGAAACAAAGAAAATAAAAACCCAACTCCCAAAAAACCAAACAGGAGAGCAGTGGCTGCAACACGGGTGAGAAGCAGGCATGCAAACACTGTGAGTGGCTGACCTAGGGGAGGTGTCCAGCCTCACTACAGGGCCTTTGGGGTTCAGGTTCATTGTAACACAATCCAGGAGCAGAACTTTAAAAACATTCTTTAAGTTGCACTCACTTTTTAGACTATGTAATCATAATCGATGTTAGGTGGGTTTTGGCCATAGAGTCACTCCACTTTTTAGCACCTGGAAAGACCTTACAGACAGGTAATCTGAACTACCACTAATTTACAAATGAGGGAAGAGAAGGCGGAGTCTCCTCTTGTTTTCATGGTGACAGTAATGTCTTTACGGGACTCTTTTTTTCATTTCAAGGGTGGAGATGTTCTGAGATCTGAAGCAGTCTGCACATACCACACTCCTCAAGCTACTATTTTTCTGCTGGTGAAAAGGAGCGACAGGGGGTCTGGAAAGGTAACTTCCAGCCACAGTGGAATTCAATGTGATATCATTTAAAGGACTCTTGGTGGAACATTCCAGGTTAGAATTTACAGAGGTAAAATAAGCTCCATGCTCAAATTTGGTTAGTAGTATGTAAATCAAGTCCATGAAAACAAGACTACTCCAATTCTCACTGCCCCGTAGTAGCACAGACTGGGGGCATTTGCTCCAAAACTCACACCATAAACTGTGTTTAATTTCAAGTTTCTTTGACATAGTTTGTGGTACATGTTTACTGTGAGCACTTTAATTACCGCTACACAAACACAGGAAATTAGACTTTGTCACCCCAAGTGAGGGCTCATTTCTCATTCTTAGAAGGAAGAGATGATCAGTTACACCACACTCAAGGCTACACTGGGTCATTCCAATTGCCTTCTGCGCAGATTTGAAGGAGCCTTGCTGTCAAGTTCCTGTCATTTACATTTCTTTTACCTAAAAAGTTCCCTTTGTATTTAATAAATCTCAGGAAACCAAATCTGTTATTTCTTCGGAGACTCCTACACAACTGTGTAGGATCTTCTAGTTTTATTCAAGCCAAATTAATTTCCTAAAAAGGATAGTGCTCAAAATCATTCATATTCTAGGTCATTGCTGGTGAGGAATAATCGAGCTCAGGAATGATAAACAGATTCTGAAAGGGAAATGACCTGCACAGTTAGACTGAATCTATTTTTGTCTTTATATAGGAATAGAATATTTGTTTGTGGTTTTTTTTAAAAAAAACCCTCACACAACCAAATCCCCTCCCTGACTATGCTAATTTATGCCAAAGAGAACAAACAGAGGGGGACACAGATGGAGGTGATGGTGGGAGGGCAGGAGCAGTGGCGAGTCTCTCGCGTTAGCGTGAGGGCACGGGTGAGCAGGCAGGGTGGATGAACATTTACATGGAAGTCATGTCGTTGAGAGCGTGGTCCAGCTCCTCGCTGATGGCTTTGTACTTCAGTTTCTGAGCGTACAGCTCGTCTATGACCAGGAAGTGGAAGGCAGAGGTGCAAGGACATGGAGAGTGATCGAGAGATGGAGGGTGAGGGAGGGTGGCATGGATACCATCCCAACACAGCAGCAAGAAAAGGGCAATGCATGAAGGAATTGATGCCGCAGCAGGTGGCCAGTGCAGGAGGCACGTGCGTTTTGTTTTTAAAATAAATCAAAACAAAAACAGAAAAAGAACAAAACCCATTAGAAAATAAAATGAGAAAGAATATGAAAATCATAACAAATATGGTAAGGCAGATCAGTAAGCCATGCTAAACCTTAAACACAACTAGAGAAGGTGTTGCCTTGATGACAAAGAAAACATTTCTTTTACAGTTATATTTTAATCACACTGGAGTCATCAGCCACCTGCAGCTATCCACAGTGGGTGGGAGGGAAATATATATTCAAGGGCAGTGTTTGGAAGAACAATTTGAGAATACAATCTGTAATCCTTGTCTCGCTCACTAGGCCACTGACATCCCATGTCTTTAATCCATTTCTTGTGGCCTTCTCACCCAGTCTGCCCCACTGCTGGTTTAGAACTCCGAGCAAACAATGAGAGCCACTCTGTTTATGGTGGTGGTGTAGTGAAGTCTGCATTTTTGATTTGGCAATGTTGAAGGCTTCCTATTTTGCCACATCTTGGCAGACTGATTTGCAAACATTTGTGACTCTCTTGGTTATTATCTACCTGTACCAACCAACTTCCAGTCTCCTCCTCCCTCAGCTCCTCTGCTTATATATAAGCTGAGCCATCACAAGGCCCGGAACTCAACACTGAGGATTTCCATGAGGTGGAGTGGGTGCTATCAAAATAAAAACTAGTTTAACAGTGAAATGCATAAGCATGACCTGAAAACACAGTGACCGCCTCCTCAGCTTCAGGATATAGGGCATTTTGCCATGAGAATGAATGACTTTGAACTGATACTAGGATAGGATGGATTGTGTCTAAAAATAAGTCCACACCATTCTGAAAATGAGTAATTACCAATTAAGAGTCTCTCAAACCTACAACCGCCTTGCTCACAATGAGATAAGCCTGCCCAGTTGGTTGACCAGTCACCTGGTGAATAGAGGATGCAGGTTTGAAAAGGCCACAGAGAGAAAATTCCAGAGGACAGGCAGGAGGAATGTGCGAGAGCAAAGAAGTCACTGAGATGGATGCACTTGGGGGTGTATAATTGTTCTGTTTGCTCAGCCAATATTCCACAACATGGATCAAATAAAAAACTTAGGATCTTACCTTCTAAGTCATCAATGCTTTTCTCCAGCTTAGTGACTGACCTCTCTGCAAACTCAGCCCGTGTCTCAGCCTGCAAGGGTTCAATATGCTTTGAGTCAGAACCGGATGCTTTTGTATTTCTAGTAGCTGTAAATATTTTGGGAAAGGGGGGTGTTCCTGGGTGGCACAAAAGATTAATGCGCTTGGCTGCTAACTAAATGGCTAGAGGTTCAATCCCAAACAAGGGCACTTGGGGAAAACTGGGAGAGAGACCAGGTACCGAAACCTCAGCCACCGAAAGGCTGATAAGACACAATGCTACTGCCAACACATATGGCATCACCATGAGTTTGAATTGACTCGAGTAACTATTTTAAAGTACAGGTGACCCTTGAACAACATGAAGGTTAAGGGCATTGGCCCCTAATATGGCTAAAACCTCCAGTAATTACTTTTTACTTCAATGCTCCATTTACTGAGGAGACCAAGTGTTGCTGCAGAGATGAGTAGCACCACGTGGCATTTTAAGTGGATGGTCACATCATTCGTGCTCTGGTGGCCTAGTGGTAAGGAGCTGTGCTGCCAACCCAAAGACACACAGTTCAAATCTATGGGTGAAAGATGGGCAATCTCCTCCTGTATAATTTACAACCTCTGAAAAGCCACTAGAGGGTTAGTTATGGGTCGGTTCCAACTTAGACAGCATACATAATAGAAGCAATAGCAAAAGCTCACTGCAAGAAAAAGAATCCACATAAAAATGGATCTGTGCAGTTCAAAGTGTGCTGTTCAGGGCCCACTGTATAAAGGAAACAACTGAATGAAAATGGACCTCTGGTGGCCTTGTGATAAGGAGCTACACTGCCATACCAAAGGCATGTGGTTCAAATCCACCAGCTGCTCTGTGGGAGAAGGATGGACAATCTCCTCTCCTGATTTATTGCCTCTGAAAACCTGCTGGAGGGTCAGCTATGGGTCAGTTTTTACTCAATGGTACTCAACAACAATGACAGTGAGAGTGGAGAGCACAGGACATTAGTTCAGAGATAACCTTTGAATGCTTTTGACTTGAATCATCTCCACTTTAAAGGAAGAGCCCTGGCCACTTCCATGAAAACCAGCTCATTTACAACATAGCTGACTTTATCTCCAAACCACTCGCTCTTCATATTACCTCCTTGAGCTTGTCAGAAAGGACCTTGATCTCCTCCTCGTACTTGTCTTCCTTCTGTGAGTACTGTAATGAGAAAGAGCATTCCAGATGTCAGGCTGCCGTGCATGCTACGCTCACGTCTTCTCAGACAAAGAGAGCACCAGTCCCAGCCAACAGATGTTAAAGATCTCTTAGGCGGTAATGGAACCTCTAATATTAAATGGCTGGCTACAATGCATTCTGTTTTCTTGCCTATTGTTTTACATGGGAGAGGAACAAGATAACGCAGTTACTTGGCGCTTGGTCTAAATTAAATTGTTGCAGATGACTTACACACCACATGAAAAATAAACTATTAAAAAAAAATCTGTTATTTAGCACCATCAAAAAACTACTGTTTACCAAAATGCCTACTGGTCTGTTGCCGTCATCTGCAGGGTCTCAGAAGAGGAAAACGTGGGCTCTTTTGAGCAGCTTTTAAAAGGTGCCTTTTGTCCCCCACACCATGCTCCTGGCCTACCTTCTCAGCCTGAGCCTCCAGTGACTTCAAGTTGTTCGTCACAGTTTTCAATTCCTCTTCAAGCTCGGCACATTTGCTAATGTTTTCGACCAGAGGTAGAAAGAGTGGAAGACAAGCCAAAGGTAGGAGGAGAGAAAAAGGAAGAGGGGGGTGGGAAAAAAGGAAAATTGAGTCCTAGAGACGAAAGGCTGCCTTAAAGTAGCCAAATCACCAGCCATTAACATGCTCAATTTCGCATGGACACTGGCCCCCAACCTTGCAACAGTGGGAAGGCAGGGTGACAGAATCCAACAACTCGGAAGTGTGACAATTTGGCTTCTTTTGTGGCTGCACGGAGGAGTGTTATGAAGGAAAAAAAAAAACAAAACCCAAAGGACCAAAAGGAAGCATTTAAAGCAAGATACGAGACAGCAGAGGGTGCAGTGAAGGTGTAGTCATTGTACCAATGGACGAGCAAACGGACTAGAAGCTGAAAGACGCCTCAGTTGCGGTTAAACCTAAAAATCACACGTGAGCCATCAGTACCTTATCCTCTGCAGCCATTAATGCTTTCAAGGTCTGATCCATTATTCTTAATTGTTCTTCCAGCTGTCGGACTTGGCTGTTAGTGGACACAGGAAATGCACAAGGCCATTCACAAAATCAGTGTGCAGGTAAGGCATGCAGTGGCACACACATTCACACACAGACAACCCCACACGAGTCTTCCACGGTCCACACTCGCGGCTCATCTGAGTTAAATGAGCACATGAGGAGCCTGGAGCCGAAACAGAGGTACAGGTGCAGCTGCCAGAAGGTCATGCTGTTTAGTCACACGGCTTTGCAGCACCCCCCACACAGCCTCCTGGCGCCAGGCCTGCTTACCCTTCTGAGAGCTCGGCCCGCTCCTCTGCACGCTCCAGGTCACTCTCAATGATGACCAGCTTACGGGCCACCTGCAGCAGGACAAACACAAGACACATGCCAGGGGGCTTGTAAGTTTTGGGAGTGGTGGCAAGAGGCGGGGAGCAGACCCATCAGTCCCTGCGGGTGCTCATCTACAAACAAGAAGTTTCTCCTTCCTGTGGACTGGAGAGAAGCCACACCCTGCCACACGCCGCTGACAGAGAGGGAACAGTGAGTTTCCACTTGAAGACCCAGAATGGTGAGGACTGGATAGTCTTCATTTTAAGCCTGACTAACTCAGGTTGAGTCTGCATAATGACACCACCAGCAGACCAGAGTGTAAAAAGAGGGCGGTCAGATAGGAAATCCACCTTCTCCCAAAATGAGCAGCATAAGACTTGGTGTGCTCATGGTGCACGTTAAGCTGAAAAGGTGGGCTGGGTGGTGCTGGAAATAACAGTGAGAAAATGAGATCAATTTGGAACTCGGTTCATCAGCCTCCCATGTGCAGAGGAGGTTAGAAATGCTGACAGAACAGCCACAGAAGCTAACGTAAGACAAACTGATGAGAAGGCAGATGTTCTGGGGAGGAAAGCACCAGAGAAGAGAAGCGATCCTCTACAGCCGTTCACAGAGTAGACCCATGATAATCTAGGACATGATGCTGGTGGTGCTAGGGGCAACGCTCATGGAGGGTCACTGAACAAAGAAAAAACTGAAGCCTCAACACTGGCTCTGATTCCAGAGGAGGCTGTTCTGATGGCAACACACCTCGGAGCTGATTCACCCATCAGCCTGTGTTGATAACAGGACTCTCTCATCCTGAAGGACAGATGGAAAATGAACTATTGCCCCACAGCAGTGGAGAATCTCCTTTCACCAGACACAAAAGTCCCAACTTTCCCTTCTCCTGGCCCAAACTCTTTTGTCCTGCCTCTGCTGGGGGCAGGGGGAGTGCTCGCTGGTCTTTCTCAGTGTTACTGACTGGCTCCATGACAGGTCTAGGAGTCCTTAACAGGGTCAAGTAAAAACTGTTTCTTACAGGCAAAAAAAGGGACCCTGGGGGCACAGTGCATTATGTACTGGACTGCTAATGGAAAGCCTGGTGGTTCAAATTCACCAGCGGCTCTGGGAGAAAGATGAGGAAGTCTCCTCCCATGAAGATTTTCAGCCTTGGACACCTGATGGAGGGGCAGCAGTGGGTGGGAGGCAAAGGAAACTCTGGTTCCCCAAATCACCGATTTTGACCAAGGAAGTTGAGTGCCTCTCTCAGGAATGCGAGACTGTGCATTACTCCTTAGCTGTCCCAGGGTCACTGGAGGGGCACCCATGAGGTGTTGGGCCCCAAGGAACTGACCTCTTCATACTTGCGGTCGGCATCTTCAGCAATGTGCTTGGCCTCTTTGAGTTGGATCTCCTGAATTTCCATTTTTTCCTCATCCTTTTGGGCTCGGCTCTCAATGACTTTCATGCCTCTGAAAAACAGGACAAGCAGGAAATGCCAAGGTTTAGAGCTGACCTTGTGGACGCACGGCTCCGTGGTGGGATGCGGGCTCCGTGGGGCTGGCCGAGTAAAAGCGAGCACAGAACTACTTTTATTTTCCAAATCATGAAGCAAGACTTTCCAACGCTAAAGGCAGGGAAAAAGACACAGTTCTCTGTGTTCCCTGTGAATGAAATCTCAGTCTGGGCACGTGGGAAAGTGTCCAGGCATCTGATGATTAATGAGAGGCAGCATGTGAGGGTCCCATATGAGTCAGTAAGATATGGAAGCAGGGGAGAAAAATCAATGTGCTCTGCTTACTAAACAAATCCTGGGATCGCTGCCCTTTCCTGGTGGGAACTACATCCTGAAAATGGACTAAGGCTAAAACACAAGCATATTCATCTTCATGGACCACTTTTCTGACAACTATGAGCAATTTCATGTGATTGATCTAATTTTATATATTTAGATATATAGATATATATTAGATCAATCACATGAAATTGCTGGCATGTGACCATTTCAGGTGGGCAAAAAGCGAAACTTTGTATGGTTCAACTTAATACTTTAGAAAAGAAACCGAGTTTTGCTCTTAATGGACAAGTTCATAAAACAGGCACTGAGAGGCAAGGTTGATGGGTTCTTCTCAATTGCATATATTAGAGGGTTCTCCTGCATTAGTAGAAAGTTCTGGTGTTTTGCGGTAAGAGGCTAGGCAGTTTGAGTCCACCAGTTGTTCTCTGGAGAAATCATCTCCCATGCAGTTTACAGCCTCTGAACACGTGATGAAGGGTCACCTGGCATGTTGGTTCCACCTGGCAATGAGTTGGGTGGTGGTGTAGTGCCAGGCTACAGAAAGCCACCCATCAGCAACTGCTCAGCAGAAAGAAGGTCAGTCTCCCCCCGTAAAGCTTTACAGCCTTGGAAATCCAACAGAGGGTTGCCATGAGACGGAACAGACTCATGGCACTGGGGTTTTCCGTGGGTAGTATGTTTCAGGAAATGTGGGATAAGCTGTGAAATGTTATAAATGTGTAAGTCATGTTAAAAATAGGACTGAATTACCAAAATGTAAGTGGGCAGTAAGATAAGGAAATCACTGATCCTTGATGAAGAACTAGAATGTATCTTGGGAGACCCAAATTCTGGCCTTGGATGAGTCACAAATTAGCTGTGGCACTTTGGCTGGCCACTCCAGGCTCCGAGCCCTCCAAGTCTCTCATTTGTAAAACCATAGGTTTTGTCCTAATTGGTCTCTAACCTCTCTTCTATTCCAAAAGTTCATCATTACCACACTGCCTGCTAGATTCACCAGCAACTGTATGTCAGGCACGACTGAGCCACAAAACCACTGTCGTGTGTATGGCGGAAGAAAGGACCAGTCATCTTAAAGCACTGTAAAACCCACAGTTAGAGAAGAAACGATAAGCAAGAATGAACAGTAAGCTGAAGACGTGAAAGGCATCTTTAATCCTAAACCTGAAAGTATCTGTACATGGAAGCAGGTGAGAACAAATGGTCCAGATGGCTGCCTGTGCTCACCTGCCCCGGTCACACAAAGCACTCACAGAGATAAGCTTCAGTGTTCAGAACTCTATGCCATATCTCAAGCACAACCCTCTCTAGTCCCATGGAGTCTCCAATGGAGTGATTTTATGCAATATGCCACATCCATTAACAGGAACAGTGGAATAGAACAGAAGACATCTTCTAGAATGAGACATGCAGCCCTGTCTAAGCCACAGTCCCCCTCTACTATCACAAAGCTGAATCTTGGAGCAAAGAATAAGGGAGAACCAGGTTATAGTGGGGGCTACAGCCTGGCATGGGTATACCTGATTGTATTCACATGTGTCTTACCTACAGTTAAGTCCCAAACAATTAACTTTTTATATATTATTGTTTTTGTGTGTGTACCGTCAAATCGGATCTGACTGGTACAGGAGATTACTCCAGTAGAGCATCTGGTGGATTCGAACCGTGCACCTCTGGGATTGCAGTGCAGCTTCCTGCTACTAGGTCACCATAGCTCCAACAATTAACTTCTGCAGAGCATATTCGCTTTATCTGTGCTTTCTACCTGTTAGGTGATTCAACATCTGGCAGCCCACAGTTGATTTATATAAGGCATTCGCTTTGTCGGTGCACTAAAAATATCAAAGCAGAACTGTCTGTGGTCCGCAGGACTGAGAAAACCAACATGCCTCCTTGGAATTTCTTGAGTACATGTCTGTCTTCCTGGATGGTGAGTTCAGTGAAGGCAGGAACAGGGTCTTTTTCTTCTATGTTAACCCTGGAACTCAGAAAAGTGCTTGTGTATTGTAGATAGCCCATTAATGTTAAATAAACCAAGCCATTAAAGCCTATACCTGCAGCCAAGTGAGGAAATGATCCCACCAAAGGACTGTGAAATGCACAGACCTCAGAGTTCAGAGAAGCCCTATGGGCCCACGAGGAAGGAAGGCTTGTGCTAAAGCATGGGCTGCATAAGACGTCTTTACCTCTCACTCTCATCTGCTGCCTTCTCAGCCTCTTCCAGCTTCTGCAAAGCTGTTGCCAGACGCTCCTGAGCACGATCCAACTCTTCCTCAACCAGCTGGATGCGTCTGTTCAGAGAAGCGACGTCAGCTTCAGCCTAGGCAGAGAGTGAAAAGCATTTCAGGGTTGGAGAGAAAGTGAGGGTGGTGCCTTCAGGAAGTGGCTGAGACTCAAACACTCATTTCAGACAGGAAGCCTGGGCCTTGGGGGGGGGGGGGGAGAGCTAGCTCTAAGTACACTGCAAACCCTCAACAACCCTGGCTGTCTCAGACATCTACACACTGATTTACACAGTGTATGTGTGTATACAAACCCACAGACCTAACTCTCACTGGGCCGATGGACCATGTCAGTTAGCAAATGCTCTCTCACTTGGTTCCTTACTTCCAGATTTCAACAAACTGACCTTACTTTCTAAATGAGAGCTTAATTAGAGCCCCTTTATTCACAGTGGCCTGAGGTGTGGACAGAGACCACAAGACTTACCCAGGGATCAACCACATGAGAGAGAGACAAGTGCAGAACAGGTCCATTCTCCTCGCTCCTTTCTCCAAGGAGCCTTATAAAAGAAGTTTTAAAGTTCTTTGGTTCTAAATATATACTGTATAGACACATAACAAAATCTACTTCATTGTCTCTACTTTGTTACCGGGGGAACACAGCCAAAACAAATTTCCCATGTCTTTTTATTATGAATTCAATGTAGCTTCTTACAGGTTAAGGTTGCTACAACAAAAGTATCAAACTGCCTAGGAGAAAACCAATGCAGAAAGGATTTTTTATTTGGTATTTCTATCTCTGAAATAGGTTGTTCCTTTCTTGGCAATTCAATGATTGCCTACTGCTGGCAACCTCTGCTTCTAGCAGCTTCAGCACTGACCACAGTGTAACATACACACACAATTGGCGGCCTCTAAATATGTATGCATGGATGTGAAAGACGGAATTTACTAATTGGCTACCATTTCCTCATCCTCATCCACTCTTCAATCTATGTTTAGCAAGGGGCAGTGGGTTTTCAGGGCACTTGGGAGTTTTCTAAACATTATAATACATATTTAGGGATTCATGCTTGTTCTCTATATACATCCTGTCATCTTGACTAAACTGTAAGCTTCTGAAGCACAAAACCCACCGCATGTTGCATGGAATATGGGCTCAATAAACAAATCTGTCTTGGCAGAAATGCAGCCAGAATGCTCCTTAGAAGAATGGTTATTTCACTTTTTTTAGGTTCATCATCAGGAGGGGACAGTCCCTAGAGAACAGCATCCTACTCCAGAAAGTGGAGAAGACACGCCATGAGACGGACTGACACAGTGAGTGTAATGATGGCCAGAGGCTGCGACATAGAGCAAGACCTGGCAGCGCTCTGGTATCCACAGGGTCACCGCTAACACAGGCCTGTTGAGTAAAAGTGCAAAACTAACCTAATTTAAACAAATGCAATTTCTCCACACATGCACGCAAGGTACAGTTTCAAATGCACATGAAGTGAGGGAGTGGCTGCGACCGTGTGACTTTGCCCTCCGCTCCAAGGAGTGATGAGAACATTTCGCTCTTCTAGGTTTTTAACACCCTGAGTTATCAGGGGAAGGGAAGGGAAGGGACTAGGGCATCCCCCAACAAGGACTCTACAAAAATATTTTATCTTGACAAATGGTAATTATGTAGTGATTGCTTGGTGCCCGGGAAATGTGAAGGAGGGAGCAGCAAAATGAAACAACCTGAGACTTTCACAGCCCAGCAGCCCGGCCTGCTCACAAAGTCAATCATTATCAGTTCACAGCCAGGAACTGGGCCCAAGATGTCTGAGTGGCAGATAATGTTTTTTAGGCTGTCTGTTTTTGAGGAGAGGTGAAGGCCAGAGGGAGAACAAATTTAAGTGCAGGAAGCCAGCTTTTAAAAAATCATGGGATCTGGTGTTTTGTTTTGTTTTTTTTAAAGAAAGCTGAAGGGACGGATACATTGCAGGGTATAATTTAGGGTTGTTTCATCACTTTTCTATAGTTTTCATTTCCAGTAAAATTCTAATCCTTTTAGAAGCAGAGGAAAAACAAGTCCACCCTCCCCTACCACCATCAACACACAAAACCAAACAAAATCCCTCAAAACTCTGTCTAAATTAGGCATCAGACAGTTTCCTTTTCTTTTAGGGATGAAGACTGGTATCTTCGTTAAAGTGCTGTGACCCACTGTGACATGTCAACATTTTCCTTCAGACGTGGGCATCTCAGGACTCTGGGTTCACCAGAAGACCACTGGTCATGTCACAGAGAAACACACAGATGAAGTCTAGTTCATCTCCAGCACCCGCACAGCTGGGCCAGTGCACCCCATTTTATGCCTGCCTCTGCAGAGTGTTCCCCACCTGAAAAGTCCTCTCCTCCAGTAGCCCCCACTTTAACCCTTCTTTCCTTAACTCTTGACGTTCAGTAGAAGGCCGCTATACAAATGTAGCCCATCCTTCCCAAAGAAGCACACTGGTGACCCTCAGACCTCTCAAACTTCAGGATCAGGTTCTACAGGAGTATCAGCCAGCATGGCCTTTGGTTCCAATGGGACATTTGTTTCTAGGAGCCAAGACGGCAGGCCAGGCACATGAAGGGTGACCTGGGGCAGGTGGCCCTTTCTGAGGAGTTGCTACAGATTGCTACTGGAAAGGGTCCCTAGCACCATTCACCCCAGCAGTTCCCATAACCTGCCAGCGTCAAAATCAACTAAGGGATGTTTATCAAAAACACAAACGCACGGGTCCTCTCCCTAGGGACTTGAGGAGGTGAAGAAGGGCGGCAGAGGAATCTGAATCATAAATAAGCAACCCATTCCCCTAATCCCACCCCAAGAAGCTGGCAAATCCTGTGGGAACTACTTCTCTAGCTCTTCCTTCGAAAGAGAAAAGAACAGGGCGGGACCTTGGACCCACAGTGCTAAAGCATGCACGGTCACACAGCTGGTCAGAGGGAGGCAGGACGAGAATCCAAGGCTTTTGGCTTCAGTGAGCTGGCTCTCTCTGCTTCTTGTCACAGTCTCCCGGAACATCACACCAGAGTCAGATTTGGCAGCTCTCTGACTCCTGGACTCTTTTCTCTCCGCTGATGTCAGAGAGAAAGGTTCTCTGCCTCCCTGCCTTCCCTAAACCTCCTTATTTCAGAAAGGCCTTCAGGGACTGAACCTCACCAGGCCAAGGAGAAGACCGATGGTGCTGCCATCCACTACATGCGTCACCCATCCTTTTTGAAATTAAGGCTGGATATGCTGCCAGGAGGGACCAGTCCTTGGAGAAGGACATCATGCTTGGAAGGGTGGAGGGTCAGTGTAGGAGAGGAAGACCCTGAGGAGATGGATTGACTCAGTGACTGTGGCAATGCGATCATGTATGTTAGAGACCGTGAGGCTGGCTCTGGATAGGGTAGGATTCAAGCTGTTGCTCGAAGGTTTGCTGAGGGCATGTAACAATAACAATAAAGCTAAAAGCACCATTAAAAAAACCCCACAAACAACCCACTAAAAGATAATGATGTTGTCCACCTTCAAGTCAGAACCAACCCAGAGCATGACCTTCCAGGAGTTTTCAGAGGCTGCAAAGTACACAGAGGAGACTGCCAATCTTCTCCCCTCAGAGTATCTGGTGGATTCGAACCAACTGCCTGTGGATTAGTGTCAACTCTTTACAAGGTCACCAGAGGCCCGTAAGGTCTATTTAGCTATGTCCTAATGTTCCTGTGCTCACAGCACCTGGATCGTCTTAAGTACCTGCCGTTGGCTCTGTTAGGAACAGCCCTTCGCCACATGGCCATCTGTTATTTGAAAACAGATATAAACACCCAGGCATTTGGGGTGGGTCAAGACCCCAGATGCAAACGATTTCTAGGCATGTAAATGACCCTTTGTGGACTGGGTTAGCTTTCCTCTAACAACGGCCCATGTGTTGATGGTGCCAGCTGAGTCTTTCAGTTCGCGAGGCTTGTTTAGCTTCGTTCAAAAGTGCTATTGTGTCCCAGTATGTAATGAACTTCTCAGAAAAAGACTCCTGTGTAGTAAAGGTTACCAATGTCTTTCTGAGATCTATGTTAGTCCACCACCTAGTGCCCCACACTCAGGAGGCACCCACCACTCCTGCCTGCCCCCGACCTCTACAGAAAACAAAGGAGTGCTGTGGCTCAGTGGGTAAGGAGTTGTGCTGCCAACACAAAGGTAGAAGGTTCAAATCAATCAGCCGTTCCCGGGGAGAAAGACGGGCTATCTCTTCCTTGTGATTTACAGCCTCTGAAACTCCACTTGAGGGTCGACTGTAAGTTGGTTCCGATGTCACAGCATTCAGGGAGAGATAGATACAGAGAGCAAAGGGGCCCTGGTGGAACACGCATTAAAGAACTCATCTGCTGAGAGGTGAGTGGTCTAAACTCACTGGTAACTTTTGGGTAGAAAGATGCGGCCGTATGCTCCCATAAAGAAGACAGCCTTAGAAACCCTACTGGAAACGCTATTGTCTGGCAAGGTTACTGAGGCAGAATCGAATTGATTCCAGTCGGTATACAGAAAACACAGGCATGCCGTCAGCCCCAGTAGAGCAAGATATTTCTCCAAATCAAATTCAGGGGGAAAAAAAATCTCTCAAGGCCTAGATTCTTATGAAAGCCAGATGGGTTAGCCAATGCAAATAAAAGGTTAAAAATAGCAATGGCTTTCTTTCTCCCTCACACACACATACACTTACAGAGAAACCCACTCCCCATATTCCAGTTAAGATTATGACGAAGAAATAGTGATCAGAGTGTAATAGGTGATCCTAAAAGATCCTCTGTAAGGTTTCACCTGGCAGGGTAGGGCAGAGAATGACCAAAGGTCAGGCCTTTTTATTTTATGCAAACGGTAGTTCGACTGAGGTTTCAGCTGGCTTGCTAGAAAGGCCAGGGGACTACAGCCGAAAGATACTTGTGTCCTTATATGGTGAGGAAAGGGGGAGAGAACCCACTGATGACATTGAGGGGCATTCCCATGGATAACAGATAAACACAACCTTCTCTATCTGTGCCAAAGCCTGTAATTTATGAGACATATTTGTGTAATGAGGGAGGACGGGCATGAACAGGG